TCTTGTCAGTGTACTTAGCCATTAGAAAAAATGTCAGTATAACTTGTGTTTCCAGAGAAATAACTTTTGACTGATAAAGAAAAAAATTTCCTCCTCAGTCAAGACTGATCTTCATGGTAAGTGGTAAATAAATAAATTATCTTTTAGAGGAGAGTTAACTCTTTAATAGTTTTAGTACAAGAAAAGTTGACTGAAGCCAACTTTTCTAACACCTGTAATGTTCCAGGTACTGTGCTAAAGACCTGAAGAGACAAGGAGAGATAGACCACAGTCTCTGCTCCTGCATGAGAAATTCATAGATTTGAGAGATGGACCCCGAAGCAGATAAATGCAACATAATGTGATAAGCTCTGTGTTAGAAACATGCATAAGAATTTATAGGATCCCAAAAGTGCATTCGTCTAATCAGCCACTTAACAAATACCACTAAACACACCTGGGAGTGTTCTTATAGCAGGAATCTAGTCCCAGCAGAGGGAAAGAATCACCCAAACACCAGAGATAGAAGAGAAAGGAGCTTTATTTCAGCCAGGGGAGCCACATGGACTAAAATCCAAAAATGGCCAAGCTCCCCCATCAGCTCTGTCCTTGTCCTTTTATTGGACTCACAAGTAGACAGACAAAGGAATTACAATATTGCACCTCACTGAAGATGTCAAAGCATGTGCAGGTTTTCAGAAGCAAGACTTAGTTTCAAGGTTCCAGGAATTTCAGCCAGATAGAGTAGTGCCAATTTAGAAAGAAAAATAAGACTGGGCATGGTGGCTTATGCCCATAATCCCAGCACTCTAGTTGGCCGAGGCAGGTGGATCACCTGTTTAAGACCAGCCTGAGCAAGAGTGAGAGCCCCATCTCTAAAAATAGCCAGGCATTGTGGTTGGCACCTGTAGTCCCAGCTACTCTGAAGGCTGAGGCAAGAGAATCGCCTAAGCCCAAGAGCTGGAGGTTGCTGTGAGCTGTGACACCATGGCAGTCTACCAAGGGTGATAAAGTGAAGACTCTGTCTCTTAAAAAACAGTAAATAAATAAAAAATAAATCTGGCAGAGAAAGATGTGACTTCCAAGGAAGGGTTCTTGAGGATGTAGGGATAATTCCACAGGCTTCATTATGGCCTAGACAAATCTTCTTTCCTTTCTCTCGTTCCACACTTGCCAGTGACCTTTACTCTATTCATTTGGTTCAACAGGTACCTAACTGCTCAGAAAGTGGGGGTCCTTGGATAATATATATGATCACTTCAATTACTGAAAAGGTCTACTACTTCACTGTCTTCACTTCTATTCATCTCCTTATCATTAGACTCATGAGCTGGAGCAGGGTGAATTGATCCTTGTGGGTCTCCCTTTTCATTTAGGAGGCAATGCAAGATCCAGGTTCATCACCTGGCAAAAATGAGACCACACTTTGGTGGTATCAGTGGCAGCAGGAGGGAGTTCTGAGGTTACAGTGCCACAGGGCCAAGTGCCAGTGGCCGTGATGAAGGTGTGGAGGCTATAGGGTAGTACTTACTAGTGGAGGCACCAAGTGTCTTGCTTGGTCTAAGAGTGTCTCATGATTTCGAATGCTTACATATTACCTTGAGTTGTGTAGTCTGAGAGTCTGGTTCTCCAGACCTCCTGGTGAATCTGAGCCACCCATTCCATTTACTGAATGCCTTTTTGGTTGGGTGAGGGACAAAAAAAAAAAAAAAAAGAAGAAGAAGATGCAGACATTGGATTGCTATGCATTCACTAATGCAGTGCTGTCCCACTAGGCACTGTCTACACACACAGCCAGCCCTGTTCCTTTGCCACAACACTGTATTTGCATGCTTGCGGGCATGTAGGCAAAGCAGATTAACATTAGGGTACCAAGTGTAAGGACTAACTAGGGGACAGGTTGTCATAGCACTCCAAACCTAGTCCTATTTTCTTTTAGATTTGGTATTTTTTAGGATTAAGAAAAACATGCCTTCGATAACTTTTGGATTGTTGAGATTTGTACTAAATAGATATGATTTTACTTAACATTTGTCAACAACTTCCTTTGCCCAGGGGAATTTTCCTAGGTCTTTCTTAGGAAAATTTAACCCTCCCAGAATCTATTGAAACATACAATTTATTCCTAACTTGAATAAGAACCTTAAGCCATGACTTTAAATAGCACATTAGTAATGTCTGATCATTATATCAGTAATGCTTACTCATTTTAACTGTTTATTTCTGTGTGTACATTTCCTGCACTATACACACACTACATGGTTGCAGCTAGTTTTAGTTTTGCCTTATTTCTCTGTTTTATCAATCTAATACAATGAGCATGAGAAAATAGAGAAATGGTAAAGGGGAGGAAAGAAAGTGTGGTGGATGTGCACATTTGGAGTTAAGGTGGGAATGAAGGTGCAGTGAGAACTACTGGAGATGTTGCAGCTCTGTCCTGTTTTCCCTTAAGGTATCATAAAGCAGTTAATCTCTTCTAGGTGGGAGACTGCTGGCATTTTGTACAGTCGCATTTAATGAGTGAAATAAACTGCAGCACTTGAGACTTTCACTGGGGCTCTTATGCTAACATTATCAATATTGTGTACATTGCCTTTTTTATCAGGTCACAAAAGATGTCATTAAAGAATTTGCAGATGACGGTGTCAAGTACCTGGAACTAAGGAGCACACCCAGAAGAGAAAATGCTACTGGTAGGATTTATACTTCTCACTGCATGTATTGTCCCCTTTCCTGTGTGCTCTGATCCTTCATGTATTTTGAAGTTGGGAGTATGAGGCACTAACTTTCACACTATTGTATTGTTCTTTGTTTTCATGGGGATCTTGACTAGTCAACAGTCCAAATCCTTTGATGTACATTAATGCTATAAATTACTAACAACTGAGTTATTCTAAGTAAAAAGTAGAAAATCTGGTCAGACATTGTCACTTTTAAGGGGGAGAAAAAGGCCTGTAGAACTTCTTTTATTCTTCTTTGTTTAGTTTTTCTCATTCCGAGAAAAGGATACTTAATCTGATAGTTGTATTGTTACAGCAGAGAATAATCCTTGCTCCCTATATCAAGGATACTTGTGATAAAAAGTCATTAAGTGGACACAGAATTATATTCTATGGAAGTTACTGAAATGTAGATTATTCAGACACTGTTAGGAAATTGATAGTTTCTTAGGCTAGGAGCAAGCTGTGCTGTTTCAAAACCTCTCTGGATGGAGATGAGCAAATCTAGGCATGGTCTGGAAGAATTTCCGGGGACCCTCCTTCCATAAGAGCAGCATCAGGGGATACTATGTAGTGTCTCTGAGTACCTTGCCTGTGACCTGAAGAGACCTAGGTTGTCTTGTGCCCTGATGTAGGTAGCCTAGTAATCATTTGGGTGATAACGTTTTTGAAACTAATATCGTAAAGTGTTTAAATGGGACAAGGACAAGATTCTTATCTCACATTTTTAAACTATACAGTTGGTTCCAACTTATGCTGGTAAGGGTAATAAAAAGGAAGAAGGGGCTCGGCGCCTATAGCTCAACCGGCTAAGGCGCCAGCCACGTACACCTAAGGTGGCGGGTTCGAATCCCCAGCCCAGACCCGCCAAACA